GCATCACCTTCCTCAAACCAGACAGACATCCAGACGACACGTCAAATGATGCTATTTGGGAGGTACCAACGCATTGGGGGTTTGGGCCTGAACCCTGTCGAGAAGTGCTACCAGTTTCGGACGAAAACGTCGAGATGGAGGCGGTCTATGCACATATGGCCATTGAACGAGAAAGCGATAACAACAATGCGGACAGAATAATCACGCTGCACAATGATCTGGTCCTTGACAAAGGTGAAGTCCTGGCGCTAAGACTCAAAATCCAAGGAGACTCAGCAGCAATTGGCGAACACCTCGTCCTCGAAACTCACCCTGTCGGGCACCACGACATAGTGATTTGGCCATCAAAGATCGAATCAGATCAATCTGCTTTTCTGTTTATCGCGAACCGTGGGCAGCAGCGTCTTGGGGTAAAAGCCGGGGATATCATCGGTGCCGCCAAGAATATGTTGACATTGCCTCAGCGGCCCACCACCACTGACTTGGATGAGGTAATGCGGCAACTACAAGAACTAACGTGGTACCCAGATGCACCAACACCAAGCGGCGACAGGGTGCCAATCTACCAACAAGATGTCAACGAAAGCATTATAGTGCGCTCAAATATGGCTATCGCAGAACCACCCAAAACACCTGCGACTAAACGCTTCAACATCAATCCAACGCTATCATCCCACGAACAAAACCGACTGCAAGCCGTTTTGGACAAGCATGAAGATCGATTTGCAACATCGCTATCCGAAGTGGGAGAGCTTAACGTGCCACTGTACCATATTCAGCTGAAACCAGGCGCGAAACCTACCAAGGTTGCACCGTACGCAATTCCTTTCGAAGCAAATCAATGGTTAAAAGGGTACCTAAAAGATTTGGAAGCCATGAATCTGATTGAGCCCTGTTCAGGCCCTTGGGCAGCAGGCACTGTTCTGATACCTGCTGATGCTGAGAAGCGTAAGCCGAGAGTACGACGAAAAGCCAAGGCCCTGCATAAAACGCCACGTGTAAAATTGTCCCGACAAGGTAAACCTATGCCGGTTTGGTCGCTCCTTGCTGGAGAAGAAACTAATCGCGACCCGAGTGACGACGAGTTGAACGGCGATAACCAAGAGCTATACATGCCGGCATTTGCAGCGAAAAATGGTCAAGAACGAATTGGCTACGATGCGCATGGGAACGCTGTGCAGTACAGTTGTGCCGCGCCTGTTGCAGATCACGCAGGAAGCAAGGATCCCTACCGGCTATGCCTCAACTACAAACCTGTCAATGCCGCTTGCGAGGACTCAGCGTATCCAATACCCAACACGAACTTTCTGTTTACTCTACTGTGGGGATCAAAATACATATCGATATGTGATGCGCTTCGAGGATACTGGCAGCTTCCAATTCAAGAAGACGACCGTGATCTCACCGGTTTTGTGACACAGTACGGGCAATACAGGTGGACTCGTTTGGCGATGGGCTTGAAAGGTGCTCCAGGCGCTTGGCAATCTATTATGGACGACTGTTTCCGAGAAGTGTTGTATGACTATCTCTTAGTCTACATCGATGACCTGATCATCTTCAGCAAGACTTTTGAAGAACACCTGGAGCATATTGACAAGGTCCTCTCAATGGCGGCGAAGATAAATCTATCACTCTCCCAGCGGAAATGCAAGTTTGGGTATCAAGAATTACGAGTCCTCGGGTACATCGTAGGCGAACAAGGATTTGAGATGGAGCAATCGAAAGTCGACAAAATCGTCCAATGGCCACCGCCGAAAAATGTTCATGAACTAAACCGGTTCATAGGCCTGATTCAATACTACCGTCGGTTTTTGCCTAACCTGTCAACTAAGATGGCACCATTGAACGCGCTCAAAAAGAAGGATCAGCCATTCGTGTGGGGTGATCAAGAACAAGAGTGCTTCGATTTATGCAAGAGCCTTGTCAGCACCGAACCTGTTCTTGCACATCCTGACTTCACACGACCGTTCACCTTGTTCACCGATGCTTCTAATACCGGGATAGGCAGACTCCTCAGCCAAGAGAGCAAAGAGCATCCAGGCGTGTATTTGCCTATATACTTTGGAAGCCGTGCCCTTTCTGATGCCGAAAAAAAGCTGTCCACATATGAAAGGGAGTTTATGGCCATTGTATACTTTACTCATTTCTTTCGCCTGTATCTACTTGGTCGTCATTTCCACGTGGTAACGGATCACAAGGCGTTAGAGTTCATTGCCAATCTCAAGGAAGGAACATCTACACGAGTCGCACGTTGGCTAATGACCTTGGCCATGTACGACTTCACCATTAGTTACAAGCCAGGCAAAGCGAACGTTCAAGCAGATGCCTTATCAAGGCTACCCCAGAATGTGATGGACAACATTGATCTCGATGAGGTCATTGTTGACGACTACCTTCCTGTACACGTGATACAAGATCTCCCCGAAGAAGCTCGCAGAAAACGCCCGCGTATTCAGGATGATGGTGAACAATGGGGTGGAATGGCTCGGGATCGTTATGCATCATTGGTCAAATACTTGTTGACGTTGAGCATGGATGAAGGCATCAGCGAAAAAGAAAAGCGTGCGATCCGACAAGCTGCGCGGTACTACTATTGGCATGATGACAAACTATATCGACGATCTTCGAAAAGTACAGGCGTGCGTATGGTAGTGCAACAAGGCGAAGTACTACAGATATTGCAAGAAAATCACGATCACCTCCTGGCAGGTCATCAAGGGGTTGGACGGACTTTCGCGCGAATAAAGGACAGATATTATTGGCCCGGCTACTTTGCCGATGTGAGGAAGTACGTGCTCTCATGTCCGACTTGTCAACAATATGGACCACGCAAGCCGCCTACACCACTGCACCCTTGGGCTCCTGCAAAAGAGGGTCCCTTTGGACGACTCTTTATTGACTTCCTGACCATGCCGACATCGGAGCACGGAAACAACGCCATATTGCTTGGAGTCGACAGCTTTAGCGGCTGGATGGAGGTAATGCCTACAGCAACCAAGAGTAGCGATGCTACCCTGGTGTTCCTATTCGAGTGGATCTGTCGATATGGCCAGCCTGAAATCGTGATCAGCGACAATGCAAGCCATTTTACTAGGCACGACTTGAATCGACGCATGAAATATCAGTATGGCTTAACAATCAAAACGGGCGCAGCACATCATCCCCAACGTCAGGGACAAGTAGAACGAGCAGTGAGAACGGTGCGCACAATCCTACGCCGCCTTGGCACACATTACCTCGGATCTTGGGAAACTTGGCTTTCAGCAGCGTTATTTGTCATCAGGACATCGGCAAGGCGTGACCATGGTTGTACCCCGTTCTACTTAGCTTTTGGGCGAGAGCCACGATTGCCTATAAGTATGACGGCAGCATCTGAGGAGATTGCGGCTCCCTTGGATGATGTGGATGAAGAAACGGCATACGCGGTTGTTTCCGAGCGCATGGAGGATTTTACACGGATGCAGGCGACGGCGCTAACTTTTGCCAAACAACGCATGAAGGAGTACAAGCAAGCGATGAAGATCCGGTATGATGCGAAGGCCAAAGCGAGGCAATTTATGGTGGGCGATAAGGTAATGGTTCATAACGAAGCATTATCGCCTATGAGCACTGACTTAGCACCGCACTGGATCGGACCCTACGCTGTGGACAAGAGATTGGGCTACGACACATACAAATTGCGCGACGAAGCATTATCTCTTCCTGGGGTATTCCATGCAAACCGGCTCAAGTTTTATTATACTCGTCCTCGATTGGAACGAACATCCATCCGCCACGAACATGAACTGTGGTATCAGTCCTAATCAGCTGTCGATATATCTTCTTATCTATGTCTTTATTCTTTTTCTTTTCTTTCCCTGACGTCTCTCCTATTCTCTTTCGTTTCAACATTTCTTCTACTGTGGATTCCATCAAGAATTTACTTATGCGAGGTTCTTATGTCAATTTCCCCCCCCCTACGTTCGTATTGTTCCCTATATGTTGTTTCTACATGTTCTATTCTTACCATGTATCTATCTGCCCAATTCTGCCCTTCTCTTTAATGATAACTCGCTTGGGGACCATAGCGAGTCATCAAGGCCCTCTTTATAGCAGTGCAGAATAGTGTGACTTGTGTCACTTGGTGAGTCGACCATTGAGTAACAAGCCTAGCTATGCATGATAGAAAATTATAAATTCTCATCCCATATGCACAATAAAAAAAAAACCCCTTTTTCTCTCGTACTTTTCGTTTACTATCCTTTTGACTCCGTTTAAGTCAAACCGACCGTACCCATTGCATACTGTATGTAACGATATAAGAAACCAGACCGCTCGTTCAAGCTTGAGAGCTATTATTGATGGATTTTACGGACATATATAGCTTACTATCGCTTCACAACTTTGTACCTCGCCCTAGCTTGTAAACCTCATATATTTTATATACTTGATTGATTCCACGGTACTTATACGCTTTTCTACCATCGTACATCCCCTTTATGCTGTATATGAATCTCATGCGCTATATGTTTTGTGGCATGTTTAGTCGTCTATTCCAATCTCAGACAATACAATAGTTATTAGGATATAAATAAAGCGTAGCGTCAACCCGTGCATGAAGCACAACCTGAGCGAAGCGAAGAAGTATGAGTAGAGTAGCTAAGAAAGGAATCAAGCATAGCATAAACCTTATAGAATTGCCACAGCAATTACTTAGTAGGTGCAGTAGACCTAGTAGACCTAGGTCTACCCCAGGTCTACTCAAAATTTTTATTTGATATTTGGGTAGAAACAAGGTCCAGGAACACGATTTATTATGATGCAAATGCTTACTTACTTAATATGGTTTGGAGATATAAGCCATTTACTATTGAGTATAAGGTACACTTTTTTCAGATATTACTGGCGCATGCGTGGGATGGCAAGTGGCGTTATGCAATTGGAGTGAGTGGCACAGAGTAAAAAATGATACTGGCGCAACTATCTTAAATAAGTCACATATTATCTTGTCCTCAGATCTATGACAAATAGGTTTATTCGCGAAGAATGTTTATACGATGAATGGATATATAAACGTGTCCGCTCATGCTATAACGTTACAAAGGCTTACGTTGTAAACAGTCATCAAGCGTGGATGTAGAATAACTACAAAATCTTAACAATAGCGATCCCATCATCCATTTCCACGCTTCCAGCTTGATTATACAAAATATGGTGGGGCATCTTCTTTGCTATCACACTAGATGTTCATATCCTCTTTCCATTGATCTCATCAGCATGACAGTGGGTATGTTTATTAATCATCATTATTTTCTTCAAACTTTGCAAACTGATTTTTCAATGTATTGGCATTTTTATAGTTCAACAGCAGACCTTCCTTCCGTCCTGCAGCCATGCATTCTTGCTAGTCCATGCGCTTCTTGCCTTTAGCCATTCGTGCCTTCTTATACTTCGCGACAAACTCCATCCCTTTCTTGTACAGTGCTTTTCTATCCTCCAAAGTAGTTGAGGAAGAGGGGGTAGCAACGTGTACACCATCGTCATTGTTGTCGTTGTTATCATTCACAGCGTTGTCATTGTTATCATTCACCGCATTGTCATTGTCATCATTCACCGCGTTGTCATTGTTAACATCATTGTCATCATCCTCCAATTCGTCCAGCTTCCGCTTTAGAGCTCGTTGTTCGACTTGAGCATCTTGGATAGCTTCACGTAACCTTGGTTTATCATCATCATCAGCGAGAGCGAGTATCTTATTGTAGAATATCTCTTGCTTGTCGAGTACTCCTTTTATAAAGTCGATGAGGTGGGCTTCATTTCCAATTAAAGACATGTAGTGGTCAACGGCTAGTGACTGCAGCATTTTTGTTGTCTCATCGTCGCTGGAAAGCTCACTGAACGGCATTGACTGTGTGAGAAAAAGTCCAAAGCTGGCAAATGGCTATACAGGATTTTGAATCCAATCCCGGACACGGGCTCTAAAATTTTCGCGAACGGGATTTTTTTTTTCGCTCATGGGATTTTTTTTTTGGTTTACGGGATTTACCATTTCGTTCGCGGGCTTCTTTTTCGCCAATGAGGTTTTCCACTTGGCCAACGGCGTTTTGATTTGGCCAACAGCATTTTATTTCGCTAATGGCCCCTTTTTTCGCTAACGGCATTTTCACTTGGTCAACGGCCCCCTTTTTCACTAACGGCGTTACTAATTTGCTTACAGCATTTTATTTCGTCAACGGCATCGTCACTTGGGCAACGGCCCCCTATTTGGTCAACGACATCATTATTTCGCTTACAGTTTTTTTTATTTCGCTAACGGCATCTCACTTGGTCAATGGCTCTCTTTTCCGCTAACGGAATTACTAATTTGCTCACAGCAATTTATTTCGTCAACGGCATCGTCACTTGGGCAACGGCCCCTTATTTGGTCAACGACATCATTATTTCGCTTACAGTTTTTTTTTATTTCGCTAACGGCATCTCACTTGGTCAATGGCTCTCTTTTCCGCTAACGGAATTACTAATTTGCTCACCACAGTTTATTTCGTCAACGGCATCGTCACTTGGGCAACGGCCCTCTTTTTCGCTAACGGAATTACTAATTTGCTCACAGCAATTTTTTCTGTCAACAGCATCGTCACTTGGCCAACAGTCCCTCATTTGGCTTACAGCATTATTGTTTCGCCCATGTTACTGTCGCTTGGCTAGCAGCATTTTTAACCATTAGTCTTTGCTTTTTGGTGCCTGCGTCTTGTACTTATTCAAGCAAAGGTGCTTTGTTACAGCGTATAATTATAGTTTCATATTTATAGCTTTTGCCGTTGGGCAGAAACTGAACCCTGCTAATGCCATTTACATTCAACTACTACAGTACAAGAACGGAAGAGCAAAATTCGAAGTCTAACAATGTTACTCAGTGAGCAATGATCAGAACAGTTGGCTCGAAAAGAAAGCCAGAAGATGGTCAATCCAAACAATTCTATTGTCTATGATCGTCGAATGTGTTTGCCCCGGATATAAGTAAGTAAGGTATGTCGCATTTGCAATCAAAAGCTTAAACGATACTGAAACATGCTTTTTCTTTCCATAGACATTCTGAACCCATACTACAAACTAGCATGCAATGGTATATCTTCCATGTTGTTAGCAACAAATACATAGGCAAGACGAAAAAAATAGCTTGAAAAAAGCTTGGAAAAAGTGGAGGTTGTACCCATCGGAAAGAAACATCAAAGCCGATTAGGCTGCAACAATACGACTAGCAGTAAGCAAAATCAAGAACGACAGCTTGAAGCATGAGCACGTGCAATTTTAACCTTCCTTGTGTGCATACAGAAGCAACTCATATACTTTTCTTTCTAACAGCTATGCGAGTCTTCTTAGATCATAAAGGCTAGTGCTGAATGAAGAGCATATACTCATAAACCTATGTCGGACACATTTAAGCAGGGAAAAGTGAAATGACAGTGACCAAACAATGACCAAAACTTTATTTGGTCAATGACCAGATTTTTCCCAAAAAGGAACAGTGGTGGGGGGAGCATTTGCAAGAATGGGGGGAAGGCGATGACCAGTAGTGACCGAAAGGGAGAGGCAATGACCAGAGGCGATGAGGCGATGACCAGGGGCGATGACCAGCGGTGACAGAAAGGGGGAGGCGATGACCAGAGGCGATGACCAGCGGTGACTGAAAGGGGGAGGCGATGACCAGAGGCGATGACCAGCGGTGACTGAAAGGGAGAGGCAATGACCAGAGGCGATGACCAGCGGAGAAAAAAAAGAGAAGGCGATGACCAAAAATTTCCAAAAGCGTGTACGATGACCAGAGGCGATGACCAGCGATGACCAAAATTTTCTAAAAAGGGATTAGCAAAGAAGTATCAATGACAAGCTCAGATGGAAAGAAAAACGATAGCAAGCGGGAGGCAGAAGGTACATGGGAAAACGGCAAGGCAAGGCGAAAAGGGGATAGCATCTGTGGTCATGAGCGCCGTGTTTGGCAAAGCCCGCTCCAAAAAAAAATTTTTTTTACGAAAGGCAGCTTCTGCATCTCTTTCGCTCCTTCACTTCTTTTTCCTCTACTTGTTTTTTTTCTTACGTACTGCTCGCCGCCATTGCAACACTCGACCTGCTCAATTGCCAACTCACACACGCTCCATTGAATTCAGCTTTGCCGCATCTCACGTTCCTTTCAGTCACCACTCGAGCAACACTTGTCCTATACGCTTTCTTTATTCTCAACACTCGAATATTACGCATCTCGCACTATTTTTTCAATACCTTTGAACGGCCCTCAAATGAATTGCATCTCTGACAACGGCCTGGTCTCTGTCCTTCATTTTGCTATAATCTTATGATCCCAGGACCAAGCTCTTTATTTCTGTGTTGCTAACGTCAACTCTGTCCGGCGTCGTTTTCTTTTTTGCTTGGCCCTCATCAGGTACTTGAACATTTTCTACAAAATTCAGCACTGGAATGGCTATTGTATTTTACGTATATGATACTAAAGAGCACATATTCTTTGTCTCAGTGGATTCTTTGTTCCTACTGTGGATGGACTCGACCACTTTTTTATTCTGTTTTCCTTCGTAGTAACAACTGCCGCAGCATTGTCGATTGACGAGAGCAGCAACATACATCAGCAGCAACAGCAGCACTCTAGCAACAAACTTTACAACAAACGGACGCAACATCTCTGCCATTACAACTAATTGGAATAATGAAATTGCCAGTTGAATGACCTGCGAGTATCTCAGCGTGACAACAACACAAGCACAGCAAAACCTACAGCAGTCTGCACCGTAACGGCCGGCTTTCTTCTTTTGACCGTAAGTGTCTATTCTTTTTTATCAGGCAAACTGGCAAAAAAAAGCAGCTATTCGCACACGGCTATATATCACCATTGAGTACTCCAATTAACGTTCCGTTTACTGTGACAGAAAAAAAATAAGGACGGGCTGACAAACGCGACGATACGGGTCCGGTGTAACTAGCAACTCTTATCCACGAGCACGAGCAGCAATGGTACACGTGTATTATATAGTGGATCATCTATATACGCCAAATTCAGCTAAAAAGTTGCGATTCACACACGACGATATCTCACCATCGAATAATATAAATAACGATTGGTTTACAGCGGCTGGATAAGGACGCGCGGACGAACGCGACGATGGCAGTTTGGTGTTTCTAGCACGTCATGTCAACGAGCAACAGAGGTGAAAGGAGTGTGCGGATTATTTTTAGAGCAAGAGCGGCTTCAAGCAAATGAGTACTAGTACAAGGATCCGGGCATGGCGGTATCTCATTATTACACAGGTGAGGAAGAGAAGGATACCAAGGATATAAAGATAGCAAAGCTGGTTCCTTTTTTTATTGCGGTGTGGAAGTGGTGGTTATCTTCAGGTAAGGAAACAATAGCATTTTTGACTATATAGTATTAACATGCTTTAATAAACTGGTATTTCATGAATTGAGATTCTGTTGTCGTTTGATATGCAAAAACAGCTCCATATGCTTCAAGCTTGAAAATACATTAGTAAATGTGGTATCTGCGGTTCTGTTGCATGTTAGTATATGAAAATCCAATGAGTGGAAGTTGATGAGTGAAATATCTGGTGTTGCTATAATGATGAAGGAGATACTATAGAATAAAAATGACCGGTCTGTGTATTTCCTGAGTAAGACACTGCATTTCCCCAGTTGAGAGTGAAATCATTGAAAAGAGAACATCAGCAACAAGTTGTATCGAATACGTCGTCGTTAGAGCTTGTAGTTGTGGAGTTCAGATGCTTGTGAAAAAAAAACAGCAACAGCAAGCATTTTCGCTGATATACAGGCTTCTTGCTTATACAGACACCGAGGCAAATGCTTTTATTCAAGCGATCCAACAGATCTTACTTCATTGTCATGAATTCCAGCAGCTACGTTACTGATGAAGATAGGACATCGTGGGGCATTAAGACACTCAATAGGCTGAAAAGAAGGGCGTGTAAGCGCAACGGGTTTAGGGGCCTGGCAGCGAACGCCAGTGAGCGAGCAGGTTTAGTCGAACGCGCAAGTCCTGGTCCGGGTTTACTAAGGTTCCGGGTTTAGAGTTTCCAATTGATGAGCTTGGATGTATATGGGACTCTCTTCTTCTTCTCCACCACCGCTTATTTTGGATTGCTTTATTTGTTGGGTATTATATATACTTCTTGAATGCTGTATGTATTTGTACGTGTTTTTGAGAGATAATAAACTTATGTCGTACACGTTTCAGTAGAGGAAAGTGAAATGACGGTGACCAAGATTTTGTTGTAAAAGACGTGTTGTCACAAGCACAAACGGATGGGAAAGGCAGAAGGAACGTGAAGAAACGAAAAGGTGATAGCATCTGTGATAAGTGCCGCGTTTGGGAAAGCCGAAGGTACAGCGCTCCCCAAAGAAAATTTTTTACGAAAGGAAGCTTCTGCATCTCTTTCACTCCTTTACTTACTGCTCGCCGCCATTCCAACACTCGACTTGCTCAATTGCAAACTCGCACACGCTCCACTGAATTCAGCTTTGCCGCTTGTCACGTTCCTTTTAATCACCATTCGAACAACACTCGTCCTATATTTTTTTTCAACTTCATCACTCGAGCAACACCCTCATCTTGCACGCTTTCTTCTCAACACTCATACTATGCATTTCGCTTTCAGTAACAGTTGCACTACAGCAACAAGCATTACAACAAACGGACGCTACATCTTCGTCATTAAAGCTTTTGGAAAAGCCTTTTGCCAGTTGAATGACTTGTCACATCTCAGCAGGACAGCAATACGAGCATAGCAAAACCTGCAGCAGTCTGCACAGTAACGGCCGGCTTTCTTCTTTACGTTATGCGAGAACGCAAACAACGCAATGGCAACGTCGAGTCTATGTCATAAGTATTTCTACAAGGAGCAACAGTCATGGCGGTAGGTGTTTACTTTCTTATTTGGCAAACTGGCAAAGAAAAAAAGCAATAAGCAGCCATTCCCATCTGTGCAGTATCTCACCATCCAGTACTCCAAACAACGTTCTGTTTACAGTAGCAGGATGAGGACGAGCAGACGAACGTGACGCTGGTGGTTTGGTGTCTCTACCATACCATGTCGACGAGCAACAGCCAGGAACGGTACGCGTGTATTATACTGTGGATCATATATATATATATACACCAAAGTCAGCTAAAAATAGGAGCGATTTCCGCACGGCCATATCTCGCCATCCAATACTCCAAATAACGAACCGTTTAGTGCAGTAGAATGAAAACGAGCTGACGAACGTGAATCTGGTGGTCTGGTGTCTGTACCATACCATGTCGACGAACAACAGCGGTGAAAAGAACGTGCGGATTATATGTAAGAGGTGCTTCAAGCAAATCATTAGTACTACAAGGATCCGAAATGGCAATATCTCATTGTTATATAGATGCGGATGGGAAGCATATAATGGAGATAATGGCAGTAAAGCTATTCTTCGAGGGCTCT